CACAAGATTATTTTTGAATATTTAATAGTGATCCTACATATAATTTAGCTTTAGTTATTTTTACTACTAGAATATATTATTTAGCATATATTTAGCATAAAATTGAGATTTTATAAAACACCATTTTTACCATGAAATTGATATATATTCTTATCAGAAGGATTTTTCTGGATATTATAGTGATCTAAGTGGTTGAGATCATGAGTCAATTGAAGCTAGACCACCATAGAAAACCTGCAAGCAATGGACGGCCGTACCGTCCTAGTATAGGACTCCTCAACAGTGCGCATCCACTGTCCCATCCCCCCTCGAGATTCGAAACCGGGACCTATCAATCTCGCGCTCGATCGCTTATCTTCTAGACCACTGAACTGATATCCAACGAATTTAATGTCTAACTTCAACATTCGTGGATGTGTCGCTCAATTTCGTTGATTAGTTGAAGTTAGACATTAAAACCGTTGGATACCGGCCGACTCAGTGTTCTATTGGTTAAGCGCTCGAGAGCGAGACTGATAGGTCCTGATTTCGAATCTCCGTAGATGGGATAGTGGATGCACACTGCTTAGGAGCCCCATACTAGTACGAAACGGCGGTTCAGTGCTTCCAGGTTTTCCATGGTAGAATATCTTCAATAGACTCATGATCTCAACTATTAAAATTAATATATATCCATTTTCATAGACTTTCTTTCACGGACTGATTTTAGTTAGATCACCTTTGAAAACATTGTAGCACTGATAATAATTATGTGCACATTAATGATTAGCTTGTAAATATAATTTCAGGAGTTATAGAGAGAAGAAGTGACTAGTGGAGTTTGATCATATCAACTGTAAAACACCCTCTGCACAATAGACGATATAGTGAGTAGATTGATTTTAAATATCCAAGATCGCGACTGAATTTTCTGGTTTGGATTCCCAGGCTTATGGAATAAAGAATTTTATACTAGTACAAAATGACGGTCCATTACTTTCAGGTATTTAATAGTTGTTGAACTAACATCAGTTCTTTGAAACACAGTCTATGGAAATATTATAATTTCCATCATATATATATACAAAGAGAGAGGGGAGGAAGAGGATGCGAGGACAGGCTAGACAACATGTGATAACATTGAATTCCCATCATTCTATAGTGTCTACATAATACTTATTTTCATAAAGTTAACTCTGTTAATAATAAAGATATTTGTTTATATTATTAGATTATTCGTTTATTTAATATAACTAATGCAAAACTATACTACCTGTCATTGTATTCTCCTTATTATTATTATTGCCATCACTGTTATTAATAACTGCATCATGGGAATTATGTATTGTTACCCTCTAATAAATTATTATGATTAATTGACTACATCATTGACAGATTCATTTTTTTTCTTATTTAAGTCACCATCGTTTGCCTACATGTATTGACTCAAATTTATATTCAATAGTAACAATAATAGTAGTAGTTATTATTACTATTACTATTACTATTATTATTATTATTATTATTATTATTATTATTATTATTATTATTATTATTGAATATTTCAATGGACAAACATTTAAAAGCTAATTACTTGTCAAGGTACTACATCCTTCGAATGTGTGTAAGTAAACTTATGTCTGTGTATATATATTGTCTTATAGCTTGTCATAATCTTTACAGTACAAACTATACCGAATATTTATTTGAATAGATCTTGCAGTCCTATATATATGTAAGTCCAAGTCAACGTAATATCAGTCACATGCTCTCTATGTTAGATTGATAAGTAGTTCATACGTATGGATTTGCACCGGAATATGTGTGTGTACATTTTATAGTCCAAATGGATTATTGTAAATAAACACGAACCAAACAACAATTCAGCATAGATCAGTATTAATTGGATCATCCTAATGAAGTTTTGTGTATATTCGTTTAATTTGTAGTTAGTATTCTATACTGACTAACTTCGAATGAAACATTTTTTCAAAACTCCCTGATTTTTAATGATATTCCTATTAGTATTGACTAATAATGAATATCAACTACAAGATCAAAGACAATCTCAACTAAACTGTGTAATCATAACTGACATTGTGTCCATACAAGAAATTTACTTTCAGATAGGTTCTTGAAGTTCTAATGAGAAGATATGACCGATTGAATTTATACATATTAGATGTCAGATAAATGTCATTCATGATGTTGAGTAATAGTTAAGCATTCTTTGGAATTGATTAAAATAGTAAGAGACTAATTCAATAGTCTCATGATCATGTGCTAGCTTGAAGATTTTAGGCTCTATCTTTTGAGACTCTATATGTGTTCACTGTACCAATTACCGATCAACCGGATCTCTAAAAACGTTTTAATTATATCCCTTTGCCAATAAATATAAGTCTCACCCGGTAGCCATTCGCCTTAGCTGCCATGAAACGGGACAACACAGGAAACAACCATGATGGTCCTTTGTCGAAATTCCAGCGTTCTTCCGTTGATTTTGTGGCCTCTAGTCTAAGTTACTCAACATTGCATGCACTATGTTGAGATAAGATGTTGGTTGTAGGTAGTCAACAGGAAACCCTGAACCTAGGTTTCGTGTTACCTGGCACTCCTCGGCATGGTGTACCTGTAATATTGAAGGAGCTGATGCTCCATGACGGATTCGATCTCGTGTCACCCGACTTCTCAGTCAGAGATGTTACCATTGAGCTATCAGGGCTGCGACTGACCTCCTGTAGGGCCTATTGTATATTATCGAATAGAAGTTAAAAGTATTCAGCAACGAGAACTTATGATGCAGCATTCTTTAGATATTTAAAATCACGGATTCCATTATGATGCGATCAGTTGTAACAATCATTAATTACTTCATTTCTCATTATCATTATGTAAGTTATTATTATTGTCACTATTATTATTATTAATCTGCAATTTACAATGATAAGAGTTAATCCAATTTATGGTTCGAATAATTAAAGCAATAACCTTCAATCGCGACTTATTCTACACTCAAATTATAGTTAAATACTTTTTTCTGGTTAGAGTATTTTTAGTGAGTTAATATTCTACGTGATGGGATCATTAAGCCCATGCCCAACACTCCTCTTTTATCCAAACCCATGCGTGGGACTGGCAGCAGCCTCAGAAAGGCTTCAGTAGTAGTGATAAAATCATATATTTCTCAAATAATTATAAATACGAATATACAGCTAAAGTAAATGACTTTTTTAAAAAGATAAGTTTCCCTCCTTTGATCTCTCTTCATATTGAATCATTTTTTATGACTATAATCGATATCAGTATTATTTCAATTTATTTAGTGAATATTATTTCTGGGATTTTATTTCATTGTGTTTATCTGGTCTAGCGTAACTTAACGTCTTTTTGTTGATTCTAACAATAATGCTCTTTTGAATGAACTACCTTACGTTTAAATTCACTTGGTGTTGTTTTACTTGTATCTTCCCATTGTTATTTAGGACTGCAATTGATCGGCCTCTTATTAGCATATGTGTATCCTTTTCGGATTGCCTCGATATTGACTTAAATCACAAGCTTTTCAAGCAAAGATGGATATTGGCTAGCAGTGGGATCCAGTTTGACACGTGTTTCGTCATATTTAGGAGTCGTCATCTAGATGTACCTGCTTCTCCAAGTTGAAATTCACTCCGGGACTCGAACCCACTACGGTCCGCTACAAACACCACATATATATGTATATATAGTCTCTTATACAATCCTAATTGTTTGGTTAAACCAAAGGTTGTCAAACTATTCAACTTTATTAAGATGTTAGAGTGAAAAATGGGGTCCACTTCTTAGTTCAAATGAATTCTAATTGCATTTCATTGACTTTATAACATATTAGATACTATCGGTTCATTTGATTGATATAGTTTATAATCAATAAACTACATACTTGTTACTAAGTCCTTTATTAAAATATCTTCAACATATATCTATTGAGATTTAATATTTCTGGCACATTATGGTTTTCTATTTTGTCTATGCAATCACATGAATTATGAGTCTTAATTGATAAATTCATTTGATATTTCATATAGTGAATTGGTGATGTAAGGATTTATACATCTTCTTACTAGTATAACAAATACAATAACGGAGCAAGTGCATTTACTATTGAGTGACCAGGTTATGATAGTGATGATGCATGTCTGATAGTGATCTTTTTATTGAGAAATAAAGTAATATTTTCTAATGAAATCACTTTATTTGATATAAAAAGTGCATATATTTCTTCAAACCTTTAATTGTAGTAAAGATTTAAGCGATTTGTTAACTAATCTTAGCTACACAACCATTGAAAACAAGGAACCATTGAACTCCTCCTTCATCCTAGTAACAGACATTACAGTAGTGTACACCTACAAATCTTCATTCAGAAATCAAACCTAGAGCTTTAGATCTTGAACAAGAACACCCAACCTATAGACCATTATGATTTTATCCACTGGTGTAGTTGTCTAACTTCAAATATTTCTGTTAGTTTAGCTAAGAGTAGTTCATGATTTAAACTATGAAAATAGTAAACATTTATAACCCTTTAATTGCATGACTAACTACATCATAGAATGATACAAGTCCCACTCAATACATTTGAAGTTAATAATATTTGAATATTATAAAACCCAGTCTATTCAACAAGTCAATTAATTATTATTGACTATTGAACACTTTCCAAACGACAGTCATTTATTTGAATAAGATTACTATCTCTTAATATTCCCCAAATCTTCTACCTTAAATGAATAACAGGCGGCACGTTACCTAGAATGTTCTAGATAGTATAAACGTAACATTATAAACAATAGCAAAGAGAACACAAACAAACTAGCATATCTGAAGAAAAAAAACATACCTGTGTCTTTCACTAACTGATTTCAACTTAATTCTTTTGATAAATTTATTGGTTGCTAAGTCAACGACTAATTATAATCCTAGGTCATTGGTAGTTTATATTTAATTATAATAATAATGGTAATTTCAAAGTGAATAAAAACAATACGAAATTCAAAAAAAAAAGAAAAAAAAGAAAACAAGCAAATGAACACATAAAAGTGTAAAGCAAGTGTAATTCTACGTTTCGTTTTTTTAAAAATTCAACATTTTTGCATGAATATGAATTACCGACAGGAATATACACATAAGCATGTTATACCATTGATATCACAGTCTAACCTATGGTTTCCAGATATTAGTAAACCACAGAGAACTTCCTTAGCAACATTTAATAATAATAATAATAATCATTATTATCAAGCATACGATTTCAATAAAAAACCACATAGTCAGTACTTCAATTCTTCACTTGTAACTACCCGGCAACAATCTATTCGATCCAAGTATAAATTACATTTATTCAATAATATTTCAAAGAGATCAATAATTCAAATAAACAATAAACAAACAATTCAATCAATAAAAATAAGAAAACATTTATACAATAATAATAATAATACTGTTGATTTAAATGAAAAATACACCAATTATCAATTATCAGTAAATGGAAATAATAGAAGAGATACATTCAGTAGGATTAACATAATTCATTGTGAAAGTATAAATAATAATCATGATAGTGTGAAGATTAATGTAAGTAGATATTGACATATACATATGATAATTAATTCATTTATGTATGTCGGTTACCCTTCGTGGAGGAGCATATGTCGTCCACCAGCATTGTTATATAAATATAAAGGAAAATTCAGAACGACCAGTTGTTTTTGATGGAGTTTTGTTCTTTGAGCTGGATGGTTTGGTTGTGAAGCTTTCGTCGTTCTTCTTCTGGACGACATTATCAGCACAAACTTCAGATAGAAGTGAAGTGTTCGAATTTCTCTACATGTGGTTCACAACCTATCCTATAAGACATCATCCAGCTTAGAGGACAAAACTCCGTCAAAATCATCCACCTGAGCTACAAATCTTCACCATCTCATGATCACTTATATATATATCGTTAATCCTATTATATAATTCTCGACTTAATACATGTTAGTGAATAACGGAATTAATTAAGCTAAATACGAGTATGGATTTCTGAATACAAATATTTTGTATAGTCACTGATCTGTACAGGCAATCAGAGGGATTAAGCGAAAGAAGCGAAGGGAAGAGAGTCAAGCGAAATGACACGCAGTAGAGAAGGTATATGAGCCAACTCCATTTAATCAAGCGTTAATCAATATGTATAGCCAGATAATAATTAGTTACAGACGTGATGAATAGAATAAGAAGCGTACACACATATACGATCCTATAAAAACAATTAAGATTGATAAGTGAATAATTATAAGAAGGTAAAAAAGTGATTCAGGAATAATGGATAAATTGGTTTGTCCCATAGGACCAGCCACTACACGTCGATTAGACACACTATCATTGAATTATTCATTTTGAGACAAATTACCAACAGGGCTAAGATATATCGTCATTATTATTATTATTATTATTATTATTATTATTATTATTATTATTATTATTATTATTATTACTCTTGTCCATCAAGTATCTTATTTGTGTTAGTAAACATTTTACATATCCCTGTGTTAGTTTATTAAAAATGTCAAATTTTATCTTTTGTTTAAACAGAATAACGATTTCAAGTTCAACAGATATATTGAATTAGTAACTCATAATCTGAATAAATAAACCGGCTGTATTGATGATAATTATCAACATCATCAGTAACTTTAGCTAGGAATTCTTTAGAACTATTAACTATTATTTGCCATTTTAATAATGTAAATCATAATGAGATTTAAAATACTTGATTTCATTTCTCTAAGGCATCGTAAGTATGCTCTACTGAAGAATTTTATAACAGGGTCAACAACTGTTAGTTGCTTTTTAAGTCATCAACTGTTATTCATAAGATCTTAATTTATATTGTATATTTCTAAGCACTTTATTGTTATATCCGAGTGAAGATTAACTCAAGAGTAACTTCTAAGATATATTAATTGACTAATATTATCTATACATTCTTATAGTATAACTATTCAATAATTAGATTATGTATATTTGTATTCCTCTTATTATAAGCTTTATTTTGACCTATAATTTATTATTGTACGATTTACGATTCTGAAACTATGTTCAGTTTACTGTCTCCCATGTTCACAGTCACTTTTTAGCTTTATTGTGTACTAATGTTATTTCCTATTTTATGGTGCAATGTGGTCTGTTTATTTGATATATAAACCCAGTATATCTGAAATAAATAATTCGATTTGTTTCGCATAGTGGAAACTGGTATTGCTGTTCTGGACTCAGGTGGACGGACTAGGCGTGCATAGGACCAATAAGGGCGCTAGGCTGCTCATACCGGTCAGACGTCATTGTTTTGGCACAGTGCTGAGACTGTATAAGTCGTATTTTGATTGGTGGATAAATCACGTGATAAAAAGTCGGACATAAAGTCATAACACTTATATCACTGAATATTTTACATGCGCCATCAAATTCCGTTTTACCTGAGAATTTACGTGGAGCTTTTGAAAAGTACGAAATATTGGATAATTATTTCGTCCCAGTTCTGGAATACTCTGTAGAACATATAAATAAACCTATTAAGAGTCGAATTTACAATATTCAAGACATAAGGAAATCACATTCACCTTAGACCACTAAGTCAGTATCAAAAGATCAAGATACAGTTCGACAATCAACAATTTTTATTGGTAGGTAACTTGCTCATTCCTAGAATAGTTATACTCCCCTAGTCACAAATTATAAATACACTAAGAGTAAACATGTTAAGAAAACAAATTAGAAAGGCAAAATATTCACATTCGTATCCATAACTGTAGCTCAGTTTTCTGTTCACTAATTGAGTGTTGCACACTAGATTATGACTTTTGTTAAAAATTACATTTCATGTTGTTGAAATAATCTCCATCTGACTGTTATAAACATGTTCAGTGTAGCGCACTTGATATGTCTTATGTAAAACACATATGGAACATGGGTTAGCACATGAAATGTTTTATACAAAATTACACCCTAATATACTGAACATTCTATTAAATTCATGGAAAGAGACTGGAAGCGTTAGTTATGATACACTTGGTGAATATAACAAACATTGTGGATAACGAAATTAATTTCTAAATCTGTTCGTAATGCGCTTGTAATTCTAGTACAACTCCATCTTCTCCCACAAAGCCCTCAAATACCCTAGTATGGCCGAGGGTGGGGAGAGTCAACTTTCCCTGTCGAAATGCTCTCACATGGCCACGCGTATACAGCTACTATCAGGGAAGACCTACTCACTGCCTTCTCGCGACATTACCATTGTTTACAAAATTGAGAAGACAAAAAGCGAATGTCCGGTGCTTTAGCCACGTAAGTGGACACGTTGTATACACCTAGGGGAGTTGGAAAACCCTGATTCCAAACCAATGGTGCACATAGGCTCCATGATACTAAGGGAACAAATGTTGTATGATCAAATTATTGGTTACTAGCTACCACCGCCTGATGTTTTTCCACTGTCTTGTGGATCAGATTTTTCAGTTGAAGACTCCGGATGTAACCCCTTAAGTAAACCATCTGCTTTGGTTTGGGCACCTGGATGATATCTCAGCTCTTACACAAATCGAGTCAATTTTGCATTATCTTCTGATTTCTATAAAAGGACAATATTTATTAAGATAAACATTTGTAGATTATGAGATGGTGGAGAAGATTTGTAGCTCAGGTGGATGATTTTGGTAGAAGTTTGTGCTGATGATGTCGTTCAGAAGAACGATGAATGCTCCACGACCAAACCATCCAGCTCAGAGAACAAAACTCCACCAAAATTTGTAGATTAGTTTAGTTTTCTTTTCATTTAATCCTTATAATAAATTTTTTTCATATTTATTAATACCATGTAAACTAAATTGTGTAAATCGTCCGAATTTTATTCAAACAAGACAATGACGTAAGCAATTGGTTAAAAGATTAAACAAATGTTATAATTTAGATAATAGTTAAGAGTAAAGTTTGGGTTGTATTCTTTGTGTTAATTCAGACTCCATTATTTGTATCTTTATATATATACCTAGACTATAGTGCTGATGTTTACAAATGGACTCCATAGATTAGTCTAAAGGATTATCATGATCTATATCATGATCTAGACGACTTCAAAATAGATCGGCTGACAAGTTCTATTAATATATATCCAATCGAAACAATGACGCATAAATCCATACGAGCAGTCTAGAATCGTTATCGGTCCTTCTTTCTGACTAGCCCTGCTCGTTTAGTTCAGAACACCATCTCAAACTCCGCAATATGAATCATGTATTTCAAATATACTGGGTTTACACAGAAACCAAACGGAAGACATTGTACTATAAAATAAAAAAGAAACATTTATACAACATCTAGACAAAAATGACTGTGATTGTGAGAGACTGTAATTAATAGACTGGGTGTAACTCAAGAGTGGTAAATCGTATAATAATAGTCTATGGGTTAAAATATAGCTTCTAATATGAGAAACATGGAATGTCAATTAGAGATAAGATTCTAATTTTGGCATATTTAAATCATAAATTGTCAAATAATGTATTACGCAATGAGAATTTTGCCGGAGGAGTATGATGACATCAAGTGAAGCAAATGTAAAACGTATTAAAGAGTTTGTTTAGCTTAGCAACAAATGCAACATTGAATTAACTAGCCTAATCTAATATGAAATGTATTCAGTTTACAATAGCAGTATTTATAATGTTATTTATTTCTATAATATTCGGATAAGTGTAGGAAGTTATCAATGATACAAATTTAAATCCAAAGTGTGTTTTTCAATCTATCTTTCAATATAAGCATTCGTAGAGATTGTTGAATGTAATTGTGATTACTAACTAACTATAATTAGATAACCATCATAAACCAGGTCACATTGGGTAACTGTCTTAACTTTGTACGAGACTTCCGCAGTAAGTATTCAAGATGTCATTGAGTGTTGAATCTAAATCATTCAGATCTTGAACTGAACGTTTGACTTTTAGACCAACAATCTAGAATTCAATGATTTATATTTCTAACTCTAATCAATTCTCGATTTTGTTCGATTATCATACAGTAACACTGGTAGATAATTTTCTCAATCCTTGACATTGTTAAACTTCATATGTCATAACTAATTTCTAGATCTGATTCTCAATGCCACTTCACAAAAAAATAGGTTTTTTAAGGTGACTACTATAATATACAGTTGACCACAGGATGTATAACACAATACATTCAACCTAAACAACCATTTTTACTTACGTAATTACTTACTCATTTATTTACTTACTTACGCCTGTTAGTCCTAATCGAGCATAGGCCTACCAATAGCATTCTCCAACTCACTCTGTCATGGGCCTCCCTTTCCAGTTCTATTCAATTTTTGTCCACTTTTCTCATGTCTGTCTTCATTTCTCGACGTAACGTGTTCTTTGGTCTTCCACTTTTCCTTTGACATTGAGGATTCCACTTGAGGGATTGTCTTATGACGAAGTTGGGTGCTTTCCTCAATGTGTGTCTTATCCACTTTCATCACTATTTCCTGATTCCATCCTCCTCTGGAATCTGGTTTGTTCTCTCTCATA